TACTTGATGGAGTTTAGAAGGATGGGGGAGGGGATCTAACTGAAACTTACAGAATACTCAAAGGCCTGGGCAGAATGGATGTTGGGAAGACGTTTCCATTAGCAGAAGAGACTAGGACCAGAGGGCACAGCTTTAAAGTAAAGGGAAGACCCTTTAGAACGGAGATAAGGAGAAATTTCTTCAGCCAGAGAGTGGTGAATCTATGGAATTCACTGCCACAGCAGGCTGTGGAGGCCAGGTCATTGAGTATATTTAAGACAGAAACAGATAGGTTCTTGATTGTGAAAGGGATCCAGGGTTCTGGAGAGAAAGCGAGAGAATGGGGTTGAGAAACCTATCAGTCCTGATTGAATGGCAGAGCAGACTCGATGGGCTGAATGACCTAATTTCTGCTCCTATGTCTTATGGTCTTATGACTGTTCATTTTGACTCTGTAAATCCATATCTAAATACCTTTTCACCGCTGATGAATAAATGTTTGGCTTGTAGATACTGGTTAGAACCCTTAACCTAACATTTTTTTGAACGAGACATAACATTTGTAATTCTTCAACACTCCAGGACCAACATAATCTCTGAGGACAAACAACCAAAAGAACTGTGGATACGTGGAACAATCCCTCTTCCGTAGCTACACTGGCCCTAAACCCCACCTCTTCCTCCGTTACATCGATGACTGTATCGGCACCGCCTCGTGCTCCCACAAGGAGCTCGAACAGTTCATCCACTTCACCAACACCTTCCACCCCAACCTTAAGTTCACCTGGACCATCTCTGATACCTCTCTCTCCTTCCTGGACCTCTTGGTTTCCATCTCTGGTAACCACCTGGAAACCGATATCCATTTCAAGCCCACTGACTCCCACACCTACCTTGAATACAACTCCTCCCACCCACCCACCTTCCTGCAAAAATGCCATCCCCTATTCCAAATTCCTTCGCCTCTGCCGCATCTGCTCCCAGGATGAGGCATTCCACTCCTGGACATCCCAGAATTCCTTGTTTTTCAAGGACCGCAACGTCCCCCCCACAGTGTTCGAAAATGTCCTCGACCGTGTCTCCCGCAACTCATCCCTCACACCCCGTCCCCGCAATAACAACCAAAACAGAATCCTCCTCGTCCTCACTTACCACCCCACCAACCTCCGGATCCAATGCATCATCCTCCGACACTTCCGCCATCTGCAATCCAACCCCACCACCAAAAACATTTTTCCCTCCCCACCCTTATCTGCTTTCCAGAGGGAGCACTCTCTCCGTGACTCCCTTGTCCGCTTCACACTCCCCTCCAGCCCCACCACACCCGGCACTTTTCCCTGCAACCGCAGGAAGTGCTACACCTGCCCCCACACCTCCTCCCTCACCCCCATCCCAGGCCCCAAGAAAACCTTCCACATCAAACAGATGTTCACCTGCACATCTGCTAATGTGCTATACTGCATCTGCTGTTCCAGATGTGGCCTCCTCTACATTGGGGAAACCAAGCGGAGGCTTGGGACCGCTTTGTGGAACACCTACGCTCGCTTCGTGACAAACAACTGCACCTCCCAGTCACGAACACTTCAACTCCCCCTCCCACTCCTTGGACGACATGTCCATCCTGGGCCTCCTGCAGTGCCACAACGATTCCACCTGAAGGTTGCAGGAACAGCACCTCATATTCCGCTTGGGAACCCTGCAGCCCAATGGTATCAAAGTGGACTTCACAAGCTTCAAAATCTCCCCTCCCCCTACCGCATTCCAAAACCAGCCCAGCTCGTCCCTGCCTCCCTAACCTGTCCTTCCTCCCACCTATCTCCTCCTCCCACCTCAAACCGCACCTCCATCTCCTACCTACTAACCTCATCCCGCCCCCTTGACCTGTCCGTCCTCCCTGGGCTGACCTATCTCCTCCCTAACCCCCCACCTACACTCACCTTTACTGGCTCCATCCCCGCCTCTTTGACCTGTCTGTCTCCTCACCACTTATCTTCTCCCCTATCCATCTTCTATCCGCCTCCCCCTCTCTCCCTATTTATTTCAGAACCCCCTTCCCCTCCCCCATTTCTGAAGAAGGGTCTAGGCCCGAAATGTCAGCCTTCCTGCTCCTCTGCTGTGTTCATCCAGCTCTACACCTTGTCATCTAAAAGAACTGCGGATGCCGGAAATCAGAAACAAAGACAGAAATTGCTGGCCAAGCTCAGCAGGTCTGGCAGCATCTGTGGACAGAAATCAGAGTAATGTTCTGGGTTGAGTGGCCCTTCTTCAAAATTCTATTTCTCTCTCCACAGATGCTGTCAGACCTGCTGAATTTTTCCAGCAATTTCTGATTTTGTTTCTAATCTCTGAGGCCAGCTAGAAGATTTTGGCCAGTATTTGCATAATTTCTGCCCTTACTGGAGCTCTAGGTCGGGGGGTGTGTATGTGTGTGTGTGTGTGTGTGTGTGTGTG